AAAATTTTACATATTTATTGTAATTTTTTGAGAAAGTTACAAATTAGTCTTTTTTTGTTTTTTGTTTTTTGTTTTGGCCACTAAATTTGACACTTTCTTCTAATTTTTTTGCAAATGACTTTCTTCTAACTTTGCTCTCAAACTCTGATTTATTTTTATATAAAATAGGATTTGTGTTTTAGTTGAACCGTCATTTATATAAATAAAAAATGTAAAAAATGTAAAAAAAAAATTTGGGTTATGCAAATATGGCAAAATACTTTGAAATATGATTTTTAGAGGATTAGTTATTTCTATTTTATCTTTCCAAATTTTAATATATCAAATTAGGTATGTATCAGCATTTGTATCAGATATATTGTTGGTACATCAAGATACTAATTATAATAAGATATATTATTATTATTGATTCCAACGATAATATAACAAATCAGGTAGATTAATAATATATTAACATTCATATCAGGTAAAGAACACAACCACTTATGTTATAAAAGACACACATTACATCTAAAATATGTAACTACACAACACAATTCAACAACAAAACAAATAGTAAGAATAGCAAAGAAAAGTAACACAACAATCAAGTTGGAATAGCTTAGTTGGTTGGAACATGTGGCTCTTAACCACAAGGTTAGAGGTTCAAGCCTTCCTTACACTCGGTTCGATTCGAGTTGAACCTATCCAAATTTTTTTATAAACTGGACCGAAATTTCGATTGTAGAAAAAACCAATCCAGTCCAGATCGAAATAGTTTCTAACCTAACCTAACCCAACTTGAATTGGGTTGTTCGGATTACCAGATTTTCTAAACACCCATATATCATTGTTTAGATTCCATGTTCATTAAAGGTATATTAGACTTTTGTTTTTTTATGCATAGGTTGGACCTCCAAATTAGTTGCTACTTTTGTAAATTCCTATTAACTTTTTGCTACTCTTGTAAGCTCCCTTTTATAAAATGTAAAGGTAAAATTGAATGGCAAAATTGGCAATCAAATAAATTAAACAAGAATGCTGTCAACTGATTAGGCATTTCAAAACAAACTAAATGAAAAGATTGAGGGCAAAGTTAAAGAACAAAGTAGAAACTATTTGAGGCTTAAAGTTATTAAACGGGATCTTACATTTTCATTAAGCGTACATCATTTA